AGGCCTCGGTGGGCCTCATCCGGCCCCCGGGCCGCAGGTTGCCTACCCGTTATACCATTGTAGTGACAGGGCTGATTCTCACCTGGTCATGATGTCACTATCAAAGCATGGCCACTGACCACCCAAAAACAGCATAAAAGTACAATTAACCTTTTGCACATTGTTGTTGTTGTTGTGTGCCTTCAAGTTGTTTCTGACTTATGGTAACCCTAAAGCAGGGGTAGGCAACCTAAGGCCAGGGGGCCGGATGCGGCCCCCTGAGGCCTTTGGGCCGGCCCCAGGCCGGTCATGCTGCTGCCGCTGCCAGCCATGATGATATTGATTATTGTTGTTATTACTTGTTCTTGGGGTTTTCTTGGCAAAATCTCCACAGGGGTTTTGCCATGGCTTTTCTGGGGCTGAGAGAGTGTGCATGCATATTTTTAAATTTTTTTTTAATTTTTAATTTTTATTTATTTATTTATTTATTTATTTTTGGTGCTTCGGCCCCCCAATTGTCTGAGGGACAGCAACCCGGCCCCCGGCTCAAAAAGGTTGCCTACCCCTGCCCTAAAGTGAACCACCTACCATGGGGGTTTCTTGCCAAATTTCATTAGAGAGGCTTTTCTACTGCCATTCTCTGAAGCTGAGAGAGTGTGACTTGCCCAAGATCATCCAGTGGGTTCTCATAGCCGAGCTGGGATTCAAACCCTGGTTTCCAGAATCCTGGTCCAGCACTCAAACTATTACACTATTCTGGCTCCACAAGAAATCATAGCACAATAGAAGCAGATTTTTGTTTTCTGTTAGTAAAAGTATATGCAAGGGTAGGCAACCTTTCCCCTTTAAGGGCCGAGGGACTTCAGGTCCCAGAAGCCTCAGCCATGTTGGCCAATAGTCCCATGTTGGCCAATAGCTCTTGGGATTCTGGGAGCTGAAGTCCCTCGGCCCTTAAAGGGGAAAGGTTGCCTACCCCTGGGTATTGCTTTTAAAACAGTCTCCTACTGGTCAACAACAGAATAGCCACAATGTCGTGCAGTAACCCCCAACAAAAGGGACTATTATTCAGATGTAAATGCAATTCACTGACCTTGTGCAATAAGCTCCTAATGCCAGCAACCTGTTAATGACGTGTGTGTGTGTGTGTGTGTGTGTGTGTG